CAAGGAACAAATAGAACACCGGTGCCTTGAATGCTCGGAGATCGGACGCACAGCAACTCCATCAGGAATGAGGTAGTCCCGGAGTATCTGGGCGTCAACTCCGAAGAGGGGAGCTTCTACGCTAAAAGAATTAACACGCACGGATGTCCCCATTGAGTGGCCTGGTAACACGCGGTTTGCCCTCTTTCTTTTGCCCCCCGACCAAGCGGCGGCGGCCTGAGGCACTCCGAGCGCGGTCGGGCGGTGGGCTTCCTCGGACCGCGCGTCGACAAGAAAAATCGAGTGGCGCCAAGCAGCGGCAATTTATTCAAAGCGCGGACAGCGGGAAGAACAGGAATAAGAGGGGGCCGCCGATTAATTTGCGCGACGCCCCCGCGCCTTAATCGTTGAGCGCTCGACGATGCGTTCGCTTTTTTTATACCACAAGTCGCCCTTCCTTTTCTCCTGCCCCTTCTATGTCCACGTCGCTGAGCTCACTATACGTTAAAGGCGTCCGATGTCCGGTCAACCACTTATATACGAGCGAAGGAGTCCGTATGAAGCGGCGCCAAATCACCGGTGTATAACATGCAAATAACGCGGCATATATTTGAAAAAAAAATAAAAATAAATAAGGGCTGAGCCCACCACGAAAGAAACTGGGCTGAAACGCCTTCCTTCTATTTTTTGCGACGACGCAAATTGGCCAGCAACATAAGAAGTGGGGATACGCCTCGTAGGCTTCATGCTTTCTTAACACACGTAGTAAAAACTTGGTGGACAGCGGAAACTACGACCATTGGCCAATATGGAAACTCTTGAGCGCTCAGTGATGTATCAGCCGATATAGGGGGCTGCGGTGCGTGTTGTGCGGGCCAACGTGCGGAAAATGTGCGATTCAATGCTCGTAGTTCCAGGACTGACTTCGTCATAGACACGTGAATTCCGTCGGATCTCTAGAACGCATGTACGCACGCGCAAATTGCCGAATACCCCGAACATGTACGTTTTTGCGTGTTACGCATCTCGCGGTTACCGACTTGTGCCAGAGCACGCGTTGGGCAATCCTCAAATTGAGGGTAATTTAGTGTGCGTGCCTGCACTTGTATGTACATACCAAGAAGGCTTCCTGCTGTTCGCTATGTCGCACGTCGAATAATTTTGCGCGACAGTTTACGCAACGTATTAGTTCAAGGTAGCTTAATGACACATTTTCGATAGACACATGAAAGTAACGAGCCCCCCCCCCCCCCCCCAATACAGTGCGTTAAAGAGAGAGGATGACCCGGTTTCGATTGACAAACTGCACTCTGAGAGAACTCTAATGCCATGCATTTCAATATCATAAGTTCATTATTATAGCGCAGAAAGTCAAAGGTTCAAGTTTCATATGGAAGTGTGGCAGCTTGGGCTAGTTGGTTATGGCATGACGATAGTTATAGCGCGAGAACAAAACGACGACACAGAGACAAGAAGGACACGCGCTCGTGTCTTTCGTGTCCTTCTTCTCTTTGTGTCGTTGTTTTGTTCTCGCGCTATAACTATCTTCAAGTTTGATTTTTAAATTTCACGCAGAAATTTCCGCGCGTGAAGCGAGAATTTTTAAAAAGTATTTTTCCTATTTCCGCAACATTGGCTCGATGAAATTTTCTGAATCTTTATATGGTAGTTCTATGGCACCCGCAGATGACAATGTACTTCACATTTGTCGATTAGAAGCTACGCAAAAATGCAGTAGACTCCTTAAAAATATATGACGTCACGGTGTTTTGTGCAGGAATTTCGCGCGTTTTCCCGCTTATACCAAACGTGGTGTCGCACTAAAAACGGTGTTTTCGGCATTGTGAAATTGTGCTCTACTAATATACGAAAAACTCGAAGAAAAAACTCAGATAAGCGAGTAAAACAAGTAGTAATACACAAGAGCATAGACTACGGTCGGAATGCCCGAAGTACCGATGCTCGCCTTTCTGAGCATAATATGATACATGCCCCATACTCACAAACACAGAGAGCAGCATGTCGCGTTTTACTTTTCTAAACTGCATAACTATGAATGTCTCATTTTAGCCCACTATCTCACAAAACGGCGTGACGTGCTCTTGAGATTATTATATCCTTATAATTTAGACAGTAGGTAATCGATTTAGAAAGTCGTTCTTGTAGAAGTCACGGATTTGACTGCCGCACCCTAAAATGTCTGCGTTTGGTGTTCCCGTGAGTCTCATTGGCGAAGCTGCTATGCGCGAGCAGCAATACAGATGGATGTGGCTCGATGAAGTGCGCATTTGGAAGCGCTATTTAGACTTCCAAGAACGGATAAATCTAAATGTGACACCGACGGACATGGTAGCAGCTGCCACTTGCACATTATTTAGCATGTGTAAATTGACAGTTCACATGCGTTCAAAAAAAAAAATTTAACGCAAATAGCTTGTGAACCACACAAAGCTATCATTTCAATACTACAGACATCACTCACATCGTCGGTACGAAAAGGGCGATATGCCTTAAGAAGCATTTGTAGTCGTTCAGCTACATATGTCAACAAGTAAGATGCCTACTTAGCAGGGATATACATACCCGAGTATTATTAAATGGTATTTAGTTCACATCTCGCATAGCAGCAACTTTGATGTTGGGACTTCACTTACTGTTGTCGCATATTTACATGCGGTAAGTAGGAGTGAGGTCCCAACATCATACACACAGTAGATGACCGCTCAATATGGCATACGTTTAGCTACGAAATTGGCATATTTGGGAACGCTGCACTAGTCATACCTATCACGATAGTGTACGTACGTAGTCTCTACTGATCCACCCCACTTCCTTCCTAAACCAGCAGCGTACTCTGTTTCACCCCAGCGATGATATCGGTCGTTGGTTGCTCTAAAGTTGAAGCGTGTGCGAAAATTTCCACTCATACACTTACAGATACACGTGCTCTTTTGGGAGACACTTACGCTCACCCTGAGTGTGCTCGACGAACGTCTACAGAATGTGTCTCCCAGCGCGTTTGGGCGAGTCAATACGAGGTGTGGCTGACAACCGATCGAGTGTTCCCTCCTTCTAGTGTTTCAAGTTCTTTGTCGCACGTGGATGGAGTGTGTAAATCCGTGGATTGGTGGCCGCTATCCACACAGCGTCGCCCACACTCATACGCCAGAGATGGGGCACAACAGGCGCCATAAAAAGGCGCTGCTCACCCTTGCACGCCTGCTGCTCCGTAGCCGGCAGTAATTCACCTCCGACAGGTTCGTGCGCCACGACTGAGCGCGGCATAATCGGACGTCGACCGATCAGAAATACCCAACCTCCATCAACGGGTTCGCTCGAGATGTCATTCGAACGCTTTAGAAGTTGCGCTCCATAGGACACCTCCAGTGTCTTAGTTGTGTCCCACAGTCCCGGTCGTAAACGGGACAGTGTACTTCTATTTGGCTGTTGCAGATTTCTGAACTCGACGGGCAATGTTTTTCATCAAGCTAACGAACATCACCCGCTTGAGTTGTGGCTAGTCTAGCCAAACTGACGGTTAGCGAAAACGTGATTAGGGACAAAGTAATCGACGCGAGCCGCGCGAGAACGCCCCGATAGTTCACGCTGTACGCAAACAGTAGGAATAAAAAGGGATGCGATGTGCAAGCCGCAGCGTGCTCCTGGTACATGACTCATGGCGCGTAGTCCGATTCCTGCGCCGTCACTTTAGAACGTCGTACGAACGACACCGTGTGACGCTCAGCTTCATGGCTATACTGATGGGAAGCGTAATAACCACGCTGCTACATACATACGATCGTACGACTGCGACCCAACCGCACACGAACTTTCACATCCTTCCTTCGCACACCGAAGTGTGTAAGTACAAATGCCGCACAAGCTCTTGTAAAAGTGTAACATGATGCCATGTCCATTAGAAATACTATGCAAAATATACTGTCCAAGGCGCCAACTCTTGTTGCACAACATTATTAAATGATGGTTAACGAAAATCATCGCGATGATATTGCTGGCGCAACTAAAGAACTCAGACGGGGGCCTCCCTTAAACAAAAAAAAAGGGGGGGGGGGATGATGAGCCATGTTTTTTTGAAGTTCCAGCCCTTATATTTAATGCACTTTCGAAGGCATTAGGCGAACGTGTCCGGCACGGACCACCCTTCGTGTATTTTTTCTTCGTTATTTCCCTACACAAGTATCGCGATTCACTACATAACCAGCACACTTTATTTTCTTGTCGGCTACAACCTCAAAGGACATCATTCACCCCATTCTCAGAACTGTCTAGAGAATACTGTGCCGCTGTTACATTTAATATCAGTGCATCCCATGGAGCAGGAAAATTATTTGCCTCGTGGTTCGACATTATTTGTTGTCACTCTCTGCGTAGAAAACACTCCTGAACAATATGACCACACAGTGCAGAGCAGAGAGCCGTCCACGTCTTTACCTAACTGCATCGCGATACTGCAGGCATTTAAATAAGCCAAATGCAGAAGGGACGCGAACGCAGCGAAATAAAGTTGGTTAGTACGATTTTCCACCGCACGACGGCGCCACCAGACGGACACGGCGCGGTCTTCGCAAATGCCGGCGTGCCATCACCTTACCCGTGCTAATTTAGTAAGGATGTGCACGCTATGATCGTTAAATGTGGAATTGACATCAGCAACGGTAGTAGCAGTAGGGACAAACAATCACATGCCTATCAAAGAGAACATTGCGAAGGCACAGCGCGACGAACGAAACCTGTTGGGGCCGTGATTTGTACGGTCATAATTCGAGCGATCGTTAGGAAAACTCGAATTAAGACACATAACAAGCAACGTGATAATACAATGAGAAAGCGCCACTGTGTTTGTTGCTTAAAATTAGCTGACTGACATTGGAAATGCAAGTAAGACTGATTGTGTCAACGTCATCGGGTCGGGGGACCCGATGATGTTGCCACACTGAAGAAGGTCCGTGAAAGACCCTATATGAACTAAAGGAACTTGATGATTTTTCAATGTCACTCACCGTAGTCGGAAGCGGAGACAGGAACTCTGGCCTCAGGTACTGATTACTTGAGGTCAGCATGGTGATGGGTCATGGAACCCTGACGAAGGTGATGATCAACTCGGTCCAAACGCGATGAGCGGTTGCCGACAGTGTAATCCGCGGGGGTAATGTCAAGTAATCCAGCCTCCGCAGAGGTGAGTGTCCTGGCGAGCGGTGCTTCAGTCAGAAGATACGAGCTCTACGATCCGCCTCAGCTGAGCAAAAAAAAAAGACGGCGCGAGCGCTACGAGATCGCGGAGCAGCACAGCGACGTCGACTGCACTCCGTACACCAGCAAGTCGCGACGAGTTCTGCGCGTGCGACGCGTTCGCCGATCGCGCCTCTCCGGGCGGGGACGTCACGTGCGCGCGGAGCCCCAACATCCGGTGTGCCGAAGGAGGAGCCAACGCGTGACGTCACGCCCATCAATTTCCGGTTTCTCCTTTCCCTTCATGGTTCTCCGCGGTCGGCGCGGCCAATGGAAGCCCGGTCGAGCTAATGATCTGGCGTCGGGCCAGCTGTCAACTTTTACAACGCTATCCATCAGCCCGTTGTCAGAGCTGCCAATCAGGCATGATTTATGTCAGCTTTTGTTGTCAGAGCCGGGGCGGTCTTTCTTTGGCGAGTTGTGGCAGAGGAGGGGAGAGCTTTTCTTTCTCTCTTTCCCCGTAGGCGAGAAGGAGAGTGTCTACAGCCGGCTGCTCCTCTCTTTCGCGGATGAATGCGTCGAATTGAGAAAGAGAGTTGTCCGCTCTCCGGGTATTCCTCTTCGGTCACGCTAATCTTTCAGAATCGCATCATTCGCGCCGGAGAAGAAAGAACCAGACGCGACTGTCATGGCGACGATCGAGTGGCCGGAGGAAAAGGCGTACCGCTGCTCCGAAGCGAAGGGTGACCCTCGCTGGCTGGGCGCGACGCGCCGGACCACCGGAGACGATCCACCCGTCTCCTTTGAGCACGCGGCGCTGTCTCGCGCGCGCCGGCAAAAGTGTCCTTTGTGCGCGCGCCTAATGACCGCGCGCTTCTCCGGCCCCGCCGGACGCGGTGGTTAGTCGCGGATTAGCGGGATAAGCAGAACTTCCTGCGTCGGTCTGATGATCCGGGGGATCACCCTCGGTGCGTGTGATCGTTGTCCTAGTGACGGATAGTCGGCGAGCACCCCGCCGCGCCCAACTGGCACTTAAGTTCAGATCAGCGTCCGATCCCAGGCAGTTTCGCCCTATAAAGTTGCAGTATGTGTGCAGTTTAAGGCCTACCTTTACAATAGAATAGCTGCTGGTATTATTCAATCTTGACTTTAAAACGTTGCGGATTATTTGTCCAAGTTCACTAAGTCATCGTAAGCATTTATGTGAATACAAGAAATACCTTCTGGCGCTATGACACAGATGTGCCTTTTGAAGTTGTTTTTATTTATTTCTTTGGGGGCGACGCCTAGTGGACAGGGATAAACATTGTTTATGACGAAATATGAGCTTCAGTGAAGAAGTTATTGTGTGATACCATGCCAGTACGAAGACGTTTCTTATGTACTACGGCACTTTCTCTCGCACCAAGGTATTAAGAGGCACTTAGTTTGTTGAGGTAAAGAGGGGTGAACATTGTTCATCACCGCCTTCGAGCCAGTATCGTAGCCATGCAGACGTCTTTTTTTTAGGGGGGGGGGGGGGGATCAACTATACTTTTCGAATGTTCTTCTATGTGTGCGTGTAAATGGAAAGCTGAAAATTTTCGGAGGCCACACTTTTGACGACCTTGAGGCTAGCAGTACTTGAACAGTTGGGAACGCGGTGGTGTACCTGAACTCAAACCTGCAATGGTGTATGGACGTAAATCAAAAGGTTGTGCGAGTCCCCGCGTTGAGAGAGTTCAGTAGAGAGAAAAATTACGTTGGAAGAGAAACTAAAGAATATGAGAGAGATATGGGCTGAGTGAACGTCCCGGTATTTGTAAAGGAAGAGCATGAACTCAAAGGGGGAGAACTTGGAGACTCACCAGTAAGTACAGGGAACAGTGTGAGCCATCTGGCAACAAAGACCACTGAACAAAAAGGAGCAGAAGCAGAGCAGGTTTATTGATTTATTCGATAACAGAGACGAGAAAAATAAATTCTTTGAGAAACCACTGAAAGGGTTAAGACAAAGTAAGGTCGGGAGCACTTATGATAACTAAAAGAGACGTGCTTTGCTCTCTGAGGCGAGGTGGGGTTAAAAAATAGAACGCGTAGCTAGAAAGTGAAATTCAGTAAAGACGAAATGCACTTGCTGTAGGAAAGGTAAGGAAAGGACGGGGCATGTTTCAACGGAATGTGTATATATGCACCTGGATCCGGGTGTATGTTTCGGGACTAGCTATACATGATGTCTGGTATAATGACAGCCCCGGAAAGGTGAACAGGTCCAGGATAGAAATATGTAAAAGACGGTTGGAGGATTGGTCGAGGGGAAAAATGTAGTTGAAAAAAAAATATTGTGAAAACGAAGGTCATTCTGCCATAAGATGCATAACGATGGTCTTTAATCGAGGTACACAAGGCATGAGGCCGCGTTATAAGATAACAACAATAATATGATTTTTTGGCCCGATGGCGCCAAAAGACATTTTGCGAACGTGTATCTGCTAGTGTATGACTGAATTTTTTTCCAGATCCGTTGCGATCATATCTTTCCTCCCCCTCTTGTATTCATTGTAGCCCCTCTCTCCCCATTCCGCAAAACACACACACACACACACACACACACACACACACACACACACACACACACACACACACACACACGCACACACTTTTCGCAATGGCAATGCTACGTCTGTTGGCTTGAAATGCAGTTTCTCAGTTATCGGCTTCATCACGCATGACACAATCAGCAGCTAGAATAATTTGTGGTAATTTCTGGAAATATTTCGTACTTCAACACGTCTTTCCACATCTCCACTGTATGCATGCCGAAGTACAGGTATATACGACGGCTCTTTACAAAGACAACTGTGAGCAGGACAAATTCAAAAAGAATGAGTAGCTTCAGCACAATGGTCGCAATACAAGACAGCCGAATGTGCCAGCCGATTTATTCACCGAGGGAAAAAAAAAAAAGGATATGTTAAATACTTAAGTGGCGGTGCTCTCAGAAGCAACTCCGAATGAGCTTAGCAACATTACTATTGCTTCAACACCACTGTGTGCTAGCAAAAAAAGAAAAAAAAATATTCGTGGCAGCGAATGAAGACAAGTGTGCGAAGCTGATTAGGAATTCACAAGATTTAAGAGACATAACAGGATGAGTAAACATTCACTCATGCGGTGCTGCAAAGAATAGGTTGCCTTGTGCCATTTCGCTTTATGTGATTCGTTGAGGCGTCCGCTTTCGCACGGAAATACCGGGAAAGTGTGCACAGTTTTCGTGGCACGGGTGCGCAGTGCGAGCTCATAGTACACACGATATGAGTCGTCAGACTATGCACGTCAGCTGCTAAAATGCGTAGATCTTTTTCCATAGAACTGAGTCAAGCGGCTAAGCCTTTTTTCCCCTTTTTTAAAACTGAAGTCTACGCATTCCTATCCTGCTTACGTACGTGCATGTAAAACTTTTTTTGTGTGTTTCTTGTTTGAAACTCGCTGAACGTGCATCTATGTCGCAGTTAAAGCCATGCCGAATACCGTTGAAAATGACGGCAGTAACAAACTGGTTGCAATAAGCTATATGAATGAGTGTATCAATCTTATTGACAAGTACACGGGATTTGTAAAGACGGGCTAGCCCGTCAAGCCTGAAGAATTTGAATCAGGCTAGTCCGTTCTACGTATGCGGCTGACGTGCACCTTTTAAATCAAGCTAACCATTCATGCAACGCGAGTTAATTGGTGCGTTGAAATAGCGCTGCGATTTTTCTTGCTATCATGAAACTATGTGCACACTTAGTACCAGTTTTATTTTTAATCACACAAACTTAATCGACAAAGGAATGGTAAGCAAGAACTGAACCGGTATGTGCAGGTATACCATACCGAAGTATTAAATTTTATTTTATTTTTTAGCTAAGCATTATGTAACGACAGGTGGGACAGGCGCGGCATTCTACCCTCTGTCATAAAAGTTTAGTTTTTTTCTTTTTTCAACACTTCGCAACTCCCGGAAGCAGGGCTCTAGTAAGGTCTCAGGCAGGCGCATTCTTGTTCTTTTCTTCTTTATTATTTATGGAGCACGCATTGCGTCACTACAAAGGCGTGTACCTTATGTATATTTACAAATACTGTGTGACTAGTTCCTTTGTATCTTCGTGTCCACTCTGTTTTTCTGCATGAATAGGCGTGTCAGTCCAGCGCAATGTTATACGGCACCAATGGCGTAATCACGAGAGCAGCGCTGGCGAAACTATTGACATTGCGCCGGGATTTGAAGGACGGGCTACAACAACGCGACGATAGATAGCAGGAGCAGTGGCGGCGCAGACTTTAACGACCACCTCACTGACAGCGAGCGCGGCTGTTTTTCTCGCCGGAAAGGCGACGCCGTAGCATAAACTCGTCCACTATGCCTCGCCCGCCGACTGTTATGTAAATGCGTGCTTGCCCGTTGCCGGCGCAGTTTATGCCGGCCGTAAAGGGGAGAGAGCGCGCGAGAACGGCGTATGTCCGCGGGGACCCAGAGGGCACGTCCACATAACGTCTTGGGCTGCTCGCACCGTCCGTCGCCCCGAGACACACACAGGCAGCGATGCTCAAAAACAAGCCAGACACGGCCGGCCCTCCTCCCTTTTATGGAACACATACGGGCGCGCGAGAAAAGGAAACGAGAGTGAAATATAATGGAGACATAAATCTGGCGCTTTATTGCCGCACCGAGGCAGGGATTATTATCAGCGATATATACAACTTAGGGGTTTCGATGTAAGTCATATCTGCAGCCCGGGAATGCCGTAATTTATGGCGCCATGAAGAGCGAGGAGAGAGTAAGGGCGCACTGCCGGAGCAGAGCGGGCATCAAAGCCGCCGCGATTGGTGAGAACACGGTTATAAATCTCGAATTAAGAGTCCGCCCGCCGCCGCTCAGGAGAGTACGTATAGTTGTTGCAGCGCCGCCGCGAGCGCTCGTAATGGCGCCGCCGAGTGTCGTTTCACGCGCGGCGCAGGACGCGTCGCGCCATCTACGGGTGGCCGCTAGAAACGACAGTGGCGCTCTTTCTCTCTCTCTCTCGGTGCCAGGTGCGCGGTGAGAGCGTTGCCTACTGGTTTGTCCGAGGTTGTAGCGTGAGTTTTGGCAAACGGCCCTGTTTATAACTTGGAAACATATGCACCGCGTGCTGCTGCGGCCGATAGATACCGGCG